AACTTAGGTAAACATAATCCTTTTTGGACACAAATTAAGAAAACTCATACTTACTTATTAGAGATAAAATTTTCGAACCCCCTACTACTAAAAGGACTCAAATACATGGCCACACACATGCACAATTGTATTAGAAGACTAAAAAATTTTCAGATTAGGATAAGACTTCCTTATCTTAATAGTTTTCGAAAATAGACTCACTTTAAAACTCTAATTATAATCTCACTGAAATTATAATTTAACACATGCAAAAATTAGTATTTAAATCCAAGTAGGACTTAAATAAGACACACAATAAAATTGTATTACAATTAGGAAACAATGGCTGCAAATTTTCGGCCAATGTGAACACACAAATCCAAAACCGAATAGGACTCAAATCATAACACAATTTGGACTCAATGACCTTAATTTTAGGGATAAAATTTTCGGCCATGTGAACACACAAATACAAGACCAAATAGGTCTCCAAGTGTAACACAAATAGACAACCAAAATTCAAGTTCAACTAGAACTAGGAAAACCTAATTTTTAGCTTCACAATTTTGGCTATACTATGACTCTAAAATTCAAAACCAACTAGGCTTAGAATAACACATAAATCACACGCACACACATGCAAAAAGTCAGCAAAATTTCGGCTATTAACCTTTTACCACATAGTTAAAATTTGAAAAATTACTTTTGGACTCACTTAAAAAGGAAACTTGATAATTACCATTTTCCAAAAATGGACAACAACTTTTAGAATCTTTTTAAAAACCCTTTTCCAAATTGTACTTGGAATTAACAAAAATCACTTTTTACCAAAACAATCCATGGCAAATAAAGTAACAAGAACACCATAATTATAATGAAGTAGGAAATTAAAGTTCCTTATTCAATTATGACATTTGCTTCATAATACTAAATTTAACACAAATCATTCTGAAAATTCAATGACTTAACAATGCCATCTTCATAAGTGACCATTGAAAATCAATCTTCCAACAACCAAATATGTAAAATTTAAGAATACATCTCAAAGCCTATAAGATTTCTTGTCAAACACTAAGAAAATCTTTTTTTAGAAAAACTTCACTCAATTTTCGACCCTACTCTCGAAAACCAAGGTTTTAGAACACAAGTCAAAGACTTCAATCCTTAAAGTTGGCACAATTCAACTTCAAAGACCTTAAACACTTTGATACCAAAACTGATATTACTAAAATTCATTCCTCATCACTTGACAAAGAAAGTTTTTGACTCAAACTCAAAGTGTAAAACTCGAGAAAACAAGAAAACCAACATTTGTTACTTTTGAAAAATCTTTTGACACTAAGATTAAACAAAAATTCGGTCTCTATGAAATTTTCATGAATTGAAAATCCATAAATTCCATTTTACTCATTAGATTCAAATGAAACCAACAAGAAGGAAGGCTTTTTCATTTATACTTTATGTAGAAAGTACAAAATCAATAAGCTTCACCTTGCAAAGAATAGATCCAAGATATTTACCACAAGATAAACTCTCAAATCTTCCTTATGTAATGACATCTCTTTAGAAAGAAAAGGCTATCTCGAGCAAGAAGCTCTTCTTTGGCATCAATTCTCTCCTTAAAGATCCAACACATAAGATCCGCCAACTTGCTCATAGGAGAAACAATTCTCGACTTGCAAATCAAGGATAAATTTCAAGATGTAGCGCCCACTTTGATTAGATACCAACGTACCATCATCAAGCTCTCGCATAGACCTCAAAATAACACCACAAGATCAAACAAATGTGTAAGAAGTCTCGCACAACCACACAAAAGACAAGATCAATTTTGAAAACGTAGTTTTCACAAGAATTTGATTTATTTTTTTCAACACCCCATTCCAAAACAAGAAGGAACCTTGAAACAAATAAAGATAGTACTACTCGTTAAGTAGCACAACTAAGAAGATATTCCGTAGTAACGGATTCCGTGGTAATTCAAGATATTCTCAAAACCAAGAACTATGAAGTCCTCAACTAAGAAGAAATCTCTCGAAAATCAAACTGATAATAGGAATTGATATGACAATATCAATTAATACCATCACTAAGATAATCCAAGCTCTGATACCAAGAAACTGATAGCAATCTCGTAGACGAAGCAAATTTCGTTAATGCAACCATCAACAAGAAAGTACGAAGATAATTTTTTCTATCCCGTGAAACTCAAAAGAGTGCGGAAAATTCACAGTAAGACGATCGTTTATCTAAGTGATTCTATCTCTTAACTCAAACCAAGCAAAGAACACATTATCCATGAAAGATTCGAATTAAACACCAACCCACGCTAAGAATAGCAAGGACAGCATTCAATATACTCGATCAGTCATCTATCAAGAGACTCAAGAAAGGTAGGAGCAAACAATGCCCAACTATGAAGGAATACTATTGATTAGTAATCTTCATAACCAACCAAAGATATGCAACACATACACTATCTCAAAATGCTTATGCCAAAGCACAACTCATCCAACAAAAGTAGGACAAACCCCACAATGGATCTCATGAACACACTCATCATGAAATTCGAACACCAAGCCAAAGAAAGGCTCATCAATCGAACTACTAGAAGTAGTATGAAAATAAGAAGTTTAGTTTTAAAACAATTCCATCAAGAAGCATACTTGAAAAAGAACGGTTTCTGCAAGATCAAAAAGATCCAAGACAAGATGAAAACCCTCTTGGTTTAATCATACTTGACACAAAAAATGGACACTCCATTTAACAAGAATTCCTCAAAGGAAAAACTCTCAAAAGAGACAACAAAAATGACCACTCAAGGGTGCTTCTAAAATTCGGCCAAGCCTCCTATATATAGGCTTGAATTTTTCGGCCAGCACCACTAAGAAGAAGACCAATTAGGACTCTCTAATCTTATCTCACAAGGAGTAAAAGTAGAAGAGTACTTGATCTCTTTGACTCTATCTAAAATCTAGGAAACCTTATCTAAATGACTTATCCTCAAGTAGGATAATATCTAGAAGGAATCTAAGACTCCTAATCAAAACACTCTAGTTTAATTCAGTCCACATGACTTGTTTAACTAGATAAAAATTCAAAAATAACTCCTAGACTTAGACAATGACTCTAATCTCGAAATTCAGCTCCAAATTATTGAAATAAAATGTCTTGAACGCCCTTCCAAAAGTGGAATATTGGTCTTGTGCCCCTTAAGTTGTAGAAACCTCCAATTTACTCCAAAACTTGTAGAATTCTCTTTATTGACTCGAAAAGATTGGAAAAACACTTGAAACAATTAAGATAGTTTGCAACCTATCTAATTGTGTAGCAATGGACTCAATCTTGAACACTTTGATCAAATAGGCCGTCCACTCATGAACCTAAATGACTCTTCTCACTAGCTTTGATCAATGATCTTCATGGAGCACGCAGAGTCAAACTCTCTTGATACTCTTCAGCACTTATTTCCATGAGGTCTTCATCTCCTTTGGTTTGAACCCCATAGTTAATGACATTCTCTTCACCTTGATCATAGCTCCTTTGAACCAACTCCCTATCACATAGGTAGTCAAGATCCATCCTTTTTTCCTTAATTGGCCTGCAAAGTAAACTTGGCATTCCAAAACTAGAATGAAGGACTAGCTCATTCCCCTCACTAGGAAAACCTCCATGGAAGGCTACATGATTCTCATCAAAGACACAAGGCATTGGGGCTAAAAAATAATTCACAAGCATGGGGAGGCTATCTTGGAAGAAGAACCGGCTTCAAAACTCTATAAAAAGAGCTGCATTCCAAGCATGAACTGGGATCTGGGTAGACATACAACACACAAAACACCACAGAGAGAGAAGAAGAGAGCAGAGAGGGGAGAAAACTCCAAAGGAAGAAGAAGTCCAGTAGCAGAAAAAGAGGAGTAACAGACCTCACTCGCCTGAGTGACCTTAGTCACTCAGGCGAGTGACTTGTTGCTCAGCCATCTAGATTTGCTTCTTCTCAATGCTTTCCTTCTTTTCTTGTATTTTCTGTAGTTTGTATGTGTAGTTAATTAGATTTCATTCTCTGGAACCTATGTAGTTTAAGTTTGTGAATGCATTCGGATGATTTTGTGTTTTGAAGTTAAGGCTTTCATCTACCTCTTGATTAAATTGGCCATTTGATTAATTGTGCATAGAACTAAGTGAATCCCGGAAGGGTAAACCAGGTTCAGAATCATTTAGCTTCAACTTATCACTTGGAGGTAACAATCCAAGGCTCTAATTGAGATAGGAATATACTTGGTTAGCATAAGCATTCATATAAGGCTTGAAAACTTCATGACTTTATTACTTGATTAATCATTAGAAAATAGTTTAATTGAGTTGATAAAGATACCTCTAGGAAAAATCGGAAGTGACTTAGAGATATATAAGTGCCTGAATGAGCATGAATTCATACCAAAAGAGTGCAACATTACAGCTTGATTACATAGGGAAAAGAGAATGAATATCTAGTTTGTAGAGTCAGTCCCTTGAGTCGGAATTCTAACTCCCGTGAGTGAGGTTCCATTTGTCTTTCTTTGTCTTCAGTTCTGTAGAGTCACTTGCCTGAGTGACTTTACCCACTCGTGCAAGTGAGTGACACTCTGCAACTTTCTTTCTTATTTGTCCAATTTCGTGTTCCGGTTATTTGAAGTTTAACCCGTCCCTGTGGGATCGACCTGACTTATCCTATCTATAGTTTAAGTTGGTAAATTATTTTGGGGGGTTTCAATAACCCACCAAAAGTGGCGCCGTTGCCGGGGACGGCGAAAAACTTCTTTTAAGCATTTCTTTGTTTTTGTTTCTTTTCCTTTTAATTTTCTAATTTGAAAAGAGTGTGCCAACTCTGAAGTTTGATGGCAGATTATCCTTCATATATAAGAAATTCATATGATTGGAATGATAACCAACATAATGCGCCTTATTGTAGTTTTAATCCTTGTTATGCAACTAATGATTTTCACTCTTATGAATAGGATTGCAACTACTTTACTCCACCAATGTATTCTTTCTATGAGGACAAAGAGATGAAACGCCGAATCGTGATGGAAGAGATATATGAAGAAGTGTTGCAGATGAGACATAGAACGGAATTGGCTGTCCAAAGAATGCAAGAAGCACAACGCCAAAAAGAGTTCCAAGAGATGAATTATATGCGAAATGAGCTTGCGCAAAGTGTTGAACGAATGAGTCTTCATCTCCAAACTATAATTGACAACAACTCAAGAAGAGAGAGACAAGAAGCTCATGAGAAAGTAATCTCATCAATGGAGGACAATGATGTAGAAGATGAACCAAGGGAGGTGGTACTGCAGCCAGTACCTATACTTCTTCCACCACCATACTCACTCAAGGGAACAGAGAAACTCACTTGTGGGAGTGAGCTGGTGGATGTGCTGAAACTTGATGAGACTTGTCCTCCAAATGAAGAGGTAGTTGACTTGGAATTTATACATACCTTGATGAATGAAGAAGAGTCAACTATCTCCATTGATGAGGGTCATGTTGATGGGGTCAAAGGTAAACATACTTGGGGAGTGCAAGAAGAGATGGTTGATTTTCATCAATTTCAAGCCGAGAAAATCCCCAAAGTGTTGGAAGAGTGGAGCAAGAAAGATTTTCCTCTATGTTGGATGATTCAAAAGTATGCTTCCTGGAGGCACGATAAGCTAATTGATGGCACATTCTTGTGGTATCAAGATGGCTATTCTGAGTGACTTGAAGCCACAAGAGTTGATTATGGAATGCATCTTGCATTTCAACATTTTGCTTGCTTCATGGGAGGCAACCCATGTTCTTTTCCTTTTAGTTTGTTTTTGTGTGATTTTAATTTTTTTCTTGTTTAATGTGTGTGCTTCCATGTGCAGAAGAAATATCAATGCCATCTCAATTCAATTGGTAATCCAAAAATGTAGCAGATTCTAATATCAGTCACTCTGGAGAGTGAGATTAGTCACTCTCCCGAGTGTGCCTGCAACAAACTGAGTTGCTGTGACTGATTTGCCTTTGATTTGTTTTAGGCTGCATAGGATCTGTGCTTTATTTTAAGTTTGGGGGAATTGATGTATGCTCTGTTCATGTATAATTGTTGTTAGTTTATTTTTAAAACAAAATATGGGAATTTTGGAAAATTGAAGCTGTTGACTTTGAAATTTTGTGTGTTTATTGCTGAAAGTTCTAAGACACTCAAGAAAGTGACTCATGTCACTCGGCAAAGTGACTCTGAACCTACTTGATGTTTGAAGTCAATTTATTTCTTTTACCCACCCATATATTTTGTTTTACCTTTCTGTTTTGTTTCTTTTTTAGGTTCTTGAGACATCTTTTGTATGTCATATCCCTTAGCAGCTTATTAATTCTGAAATTTGGTGTGCTTAATGTGTACTTCTAGGCTTTAGTCTGGGGTAAACTTCTAATATCTTTATGAGCATTGATGCTATATATAGCAAGTTTAGGGAGAATTTTCAGAATTTAGCATGTTCGATTGCATATGAGTCACCTAGTTATTTCTGAGCATTATTGTTAAAAAGCTAAATCTATTTATGGAACTATGGTGTTTCTGGTTTGTTGCTTTCTATGGTCTCTGTGCTTAACTGTATGAACCAAGGAACTTCATGAGCTTAATTTTTGATATCTTTAGTCTGTGTTTCAATTCTAATACTTGGTACTTGAGAAAACAAGATTTGCAGCTAAAGAAGGACTGTAGAGCCACTCCCACGAGTGACCAAAGTCATTCCAACGAGTGACACTGCAGAAAAATAAAAATTCTTAACCCTTATAGCTGTTGAATCTTTTTTGTGTTCTGATGTTGCAATTCCAGGCTGTTGTACAAGGATGTCGCGATCGGCAAATTATCTGGTACACCCGGGGGTACGGTGTCCCCCCATGCGCGTGTACCTCACTCTCTTACAATAGCGTTAGTGCGCCATTATAATTCAGCTTTCTTTTTCTTTTTCTTTTTTTAAACGTGGGGATATATAAATAACCGAATTCATTCAAATTTGTAAAACTTTTTGATAGAGTATTATTGATGAGAGATGGTCGGCGACGATCGAGGCGTTGAGGCGGCAATGGGAGTCGGCGATCGTGGCGTTGAGGTGGACACGGCCGGCGGCGATCGAGTCGTTGAGACGGCGACGGTGTTCAACGATCGAGGAAAGGCTCCGATTCCACCAGAGTGGCGAAACGGTGATTGGATCGACAATATGCTTAGTTAAGATCGAGTGATGAGTTATGTCGTTGATGATTCCGTCTTGATGAATGCGGAATGTAGTGGTAGAAAATCCATCGAACAACCTTACTGTGCCAGTAAATCAACGCAAGGTCACAGTTTTGTTGTAGATCAACTGGAATCAGGTAATCAATCAAGTTTTTTTCACAGTTCTATTTTTGTTAATATGAACTGGATAAACAGTTATGCTGTGTTGATATCCAAAATATTTTTACTGGATATCCACTTTGTTTGTGCTGGATATCCAGCTTATGTGTACTGGTTATCTAACTGATACACATGTGTATCCAAATTTTATTTACTGGACATCCAACATTTTTGAGTTGTTTATATTGAATTGGTGTTTTTTCACAGTTCGGAGTGTACTGTTTGTGAGAGAATAATCAATCTAGTTTTTCACAGTTCTGTTTTTGTTAATGTTGTATGAAGTGGATAAGCAGTTATGCTGTGTTGAATATCCAAAATGTTTGTAGTGGATATCCATTTTGTTTGTGCTTGATATCCAGCGTATGTCTACTGGTTATCCAATTGATTTACATGCGTATCCAAATTTTATTTGCTGGAAATCCAACTGATTTTTTGTTTTTCTGTTTGTCTCATTTTTTGTAAAAGAGCATATCAATGAGTTGGGGGATGATGTGATGCTGGATGATGCTTTGTGCATGAAAGTTACATCTGCTCTGAAGGGTGGGTTTTCTAACTTGCTTATATGTGTTTAAATTTTTTTTCTGATTTGTTTATCCAGTGTTAATACTGATTATCCGACTGCATGGTAATGGTTATCCAACCATCTCTTTTGTTTTTTCTCAGAATGTGGAGAAGATAATAGCGGCAATGAATTGGGAGTTAATAATGTGATGTTGAAGGAGGATGCCTTGCACAAGGAAATTTCATCTGTGACGAAGAATAATGATTTGGTTGTTTTTACTTTAGTTGGTAAGACGGCAAGAAGTGAGAAAGAAGCTTATGATTTGTATAATGATCATGCCCGATTGATTGGTTTTAGTGTGGGAAAATAGAAGTTTAGAGGTAAGACTGATAAAGTTAGGATGAAAAAGTTCTATTGTAACCGCGAAGGATACAAGAGATCCAGTGGAAATGGTGATGTGTGCCATGAGAGGGTTAATTTTCGGTGTGGGTGTCCAGCTTATATCCATTTTACTGTTGACAAAGATGGCTTGTGGACCTGTACAAAGCATCTGGTTGATCACAATCATGATCTTGTGCCGAATGAAATGATTGGACTTCTTCGATCTCAACGTGAAGTAGATGAAAATGATATGAAGATAATCAGAGACATGACAAGGAGTGGCATCCCTTTGGTTGATGCATTTAAGTTTGTGGCAAAATTACACGGGGGAAGTCCGAACATGAAATATACTTTGAGAGATGCCTACAATTATGAGCGTCCTGGTGTTGGATTTGAAGGTGGTGATTGTAATCAGCTCATGAAGATTTTTTGGGACAGGAAGGAAACTGAAGAAGATTTCTTCTTTGATTTTGAGTGTGATGAGCAGAGTAGGCTGTGTATTTTCTTCTGGAGGGATGGTAGAATGCGAAAGGATTATAATTTGTTTGGTGACTTGCTTGTGTTTGATACAACATATCGAACAAACAGATATGGGATGATCTGTGCTCCATTTGTGGGTATGGATAATCATAACAAGAATGTCATGTTTGGTTGTGGTTTTGTGTTAAACGAGAAAGAACCCTCCTTTGATTGGTTGTTCAAGCAGTTTTTGAAATCAATGGGAGATAAACAGCCACAAACCATAATGACAGATCAAGCACCTTCCATTGCTGCAAGTATTCGGACATGTTTTCCAAGTTCTCGGCATCGTCTCTGTGTATGGCACATAGGTGAAAATTCAAGAAAGCGAATTGGTCATTTAAGGAACAAGCCAGATTTTGTTAAGAACTTTAATTATCTGATGAAATACACTTCAACAGAAATCGAGTTCGAGGTATTATGGAGGAGGTCAGTTTGACAATATTTTTATTATTATTTTGATCATTTCCATGATTAAGAGTGTTTCTTATTTTTTTTGTTGTGTGGGTATGTGTTTGTTAGTGGTCATGCATGATCTTCCTGATGATTACATATAGGTAGGTAAGTTGTGTGGTAGGTACATTATAGAAGCACAACTAAAAAAAGGCATGGATAACTAGTTTATAGATTGTGGATAACCACCCATAATGTTCGGATGACTAGTTTATAGATTCTGGATAACCAGCAACTATGGTTGGATAAATAGTTTTTAGCCATTCTGGATAACTAGTTTACACATTATGGATAACCAGCAATTATCCCTGGATAACCACCCGTTATAGCTGGATAACCAGTAGAAAGGCTTTCTTGGCTGGATAACTATATGGATAATCTAACTATTTTTCTTTTTATGCATGTTTTTTATATTGTTGTGAACAGATTATTGGATGAGTATATTGTCATGATGACAAATGGCTCAGTGGTATTTATGATGTGAGGCATATGTGGTGCCCTGCATTTAGCAAAGATTTTTTTTCTGGTGGTACCTTGTCTTCACAGAGGAGTGAGTCAACAAATAATGCAATTTGTCGTAAGATGAAGGCCACATCATCGCTTTGTGATTTCCATAGAATTTTCTCTGATGTTGTACACTGTTGGCGGGTAGCTGTGAGGGGTGAAGATCTACGTTGTAGCTAGGGAAACATCGATTCATATCTTCCCGGTGACCCTTTCCTGGAGAGCATTCGCAGAGTGTACACAATTGAAGCATTTCGGGAGTTTCAGCAGTTGCACAAAGATGGGATGTTGTGCAGGCAGGAGCAGTTAGAGGTCTCAAATGATGGCAATACTGTGACGTACCATGTTTGGCGGTTTGGGATAGAGCACTTTAAGCATGTGGTTGTACATGACACTAGGTTACAGAGATTCTCATGCACATGCAGGTACTACTCTGAGGCGGGCATGCTTTGTTGCCACATTTTTCGAATCTGTCACGTAACCTCTGTTGATGAGTTTCCTAAAGATTATATATGTATGAGATGGACAAAAGGTTATGGTGCCAGGTCAAGCATAGCTAATGAGGGAGATGGAAAAGCTGCTGGGCCATTGCTGTGGAAGGCACTAATTATGAGACGATTTTCAGACTTGGTGTATGCAAGTGAATATAACAAAGATGCAAAGGAATTTTGTGATGAGGCTGTTGACAGGCTTAAAGAAGAACTTGACAGTTTCATTGGTTCAAATAATAATGATGAGTCTGTAGACAATGATGGTTTTTATAAAGAATCCGACTGTAAAGAGGAAGAAGTTTGGTCCCAGGAACGAACGTCCTAAAAGCATTCTGGAGAAGGCATGTAACAAAGTCAGAGGCAGGAAAACAAATGCAAGAATTGCTGCAGACCGAACAAGAGCTTCAGTTGCATCAGACCTGCATTATCAAAGCATGCCATTTCCTTATCCAAAGGGAGCTGCTCAACATTTTACAGGCTCAGGAAGTTTTGCTGCTGTGAATGCTTCCCGTCAAAGCGTGCCATCTTTGAACGTAAATTCCGGTGGATTCTCATTTGCTAATCCAAGCGTAGCTGCCCAGCATTTTTCATGGGCAGGGGCTTCCACTTCTGTGAATGCTTCTGATCAAAAGCATGCCGTTCATCAACCAAAATTTCGGTGGATTCTCATTTCCAATTCCCAAGGGAGCTAGCCAGGAGTTTCAAGGTGAAAGCACTTCCGCTGCTGTGAATCCTTCTCATCAAAACATGACATTCATGAATGAAAACTTTGGTGGTTTCTCATTTCCTAACCAAAGGGAAGCTGCCAGGGAGGCTGGAGCGCATCGTTTCTTCAACAAGATGTTTTATTAGTATTTTAACTTGATTGATGGAGACCATCTAGCTAACACTAATGGAGAGGGACATGTTGCTGCCAATACTGGAGAAGACGAGCAAGTTGAGGTCGTGAATGCTAATGAAGGATCTAAAGATGCTGCTTTAAAGAATAATCCTTACATTCGTGATCCACTTTCAAAAATTGTTGGACCAATGACTCGTGCTAGACGCAAGAGGATGAATGAATCACTTAATAGTGTAATTGTTACTACATGGGCTAAGGAGGAAATTAAGCTTGAAGATTACAAGTCCAAGACTATTAATTTGCTGCAAGTAACACCAAATGGATTTGGCCCATTTGGAGAGAAGAATTTCGGCCCTCAATCCTCAAAGGGACCGCCGGCCACATCTCCTCATGTTGGTCGAATTGCTCCCTAAAGTTTAGGGGTGAGATCATTCAAATTTTATCTCTTTGAAAGATAAGACTTTTATCTCTTTAAAGGATAATATTTGGGATGATTCTTTTTATCTTGTTTTTCGAGTTTTCCTACAATAAGGAGTCAGCTTTTGATGTCTACTCAACCGTTGGATGAAGACTACATCAAAATGGATGGCTAAGATCACTCTACAAAGAAGATGATGATAGAATTTTAACTCAAGGGAGGTTCTATCCATTGGAATCTTTCTAAGAGATTATCTCATCTTGTAAAGATAAGATTCTCTTTAAAGCTTATCCTTATCTTATCTTGTAAAAGATAAGATTCTCATAAAATCTTATCCTTATCCTATAAGAGTTTGAGTTTGAGTTGGAGTCTGAGATATCATTTGAGTTTGCTTATACTTCTAAAGCGAGATCCTTATTTTTTTCTCCAAACACTCGAACGAGATTCGTGTTCTCCCTTGTTCTTTTCTAGAATTTCCCTAAATTTACTCTACGTGCTAATTGACTTTGTCTACTTTTGAGTGTTTTATTCGAGTGGATTGTTTAATTAATTGTTGTGGTGCATGTTGCTACTACTTGAACATTGAAGCCGATCCGGAACTTTACCAAAGGTCTTTGAGTGGTAAAAGACTTGAGTGTTTTCTTTCTATTCCACTTTGATATTGGGGGAAAATCCAAATAAATCCCAAAGAGAGCATACAAAAGGTGAGTTGTGTGTGATACTACCAAAAGGGGGGAAAAGTAAAAGATCATTGGTTAGGGGAAGTGAGGTAGGAACATTTTCTACTAACATCCTATATATTCGTTTGTTCTTTGATCTTAAAGGATGTCATCTGGAGACGATAGTGAACAAAGAGACGACCGTTCTCAAGATGCTATGCGAGAAACTCTTGCTAGATTGTATAATGTAACTACTCAATTATGTAGTAGGATACAAGATCTAGAACTAGAGGTTCGTAATGGTCGCGCTCAAGGTAATGAAGGTAATGAAAATCGTAATAGAGCTCATTGTGTTGTCAATAGGAATGATCCTTATGAACTTGGTAATTTCAAAGTTAAAATTCCTGAATTTAGTGGTACTAATGACCCTGAAGCCTATCTTACATGGGAAAAGAAGGTAGAGCGTGCTTTTTCATTGCAGGATTATGATGATTCTAAGAAGATTAGAATAGCCGTTTACCAATTCAATAACTATGCTTCAGAATGGTGGGACCAAGTTGTCAAGGATAGGAAGCTCTATGATGAGGATCCCGTATCCACATGGGATGAAATGAAAAGACTCATGCGCAAAATGTTTGTTCCCTCTTATTATTATCGAGATTTTTGTAAACAAATTCAAAGTCTTTCACAGGGAACCAAGCCTGTTGATGAGTACTATCAAGAGTTAGAGTTGGCATTGATACGTGCAAATATTAAAGAGGAGCCTGAAGCTATGATGGCGAGGTTTCTAGGAGGACTTAACAAAAACATTGCCGATGTTGTGGAACTTTCACACTACCTAGATCCAACTGAGATGTTACACAAAGGTAGGATCGTGGAGAGACAATTGGCAAAGAAGAAGTCAGATTCACATAAGTCTTCTACACCATGGAAGAAAGATGATTCAAAGAAGTATGGTAATTCGTCAAAGATTGAGAAGGGAAGTAGTTCTAACGCTTCTAATACTTCTAATATTCCTAAACCATCTTCTAATGTTAAGAATTCTACTTCATCTAGTAATACTAACAAAGTCAGAACTAGAGATGTTACTTGTTCAAATGTCAGGGACGAGGACATATAGCTTCTGCTTGTCCAACTTTAAAGACTATGATCCTTAAAGAGGATGGAAGTTTTGAAAGTGAAACAGATGAAGAAGATGACGAGATGCCAAGACTTGTTGAGAAAGTCGAAAAAGAAGTTGTAGAGATTGATGCTGAGGCTGGACAAGTGTTTGTCAACCTTCGAACATTACAAACACAAATAGCTGCTGATGATCAGCAGAGACACAATATTTTCCATACTAAGAGTCGAGTTATGGACAAGGTATGCTTAACTATTATAGATCCAGGATCGTGTACTAATGTTGCTAGTTCATATCTTGTAGATAATCTGAAGTTACCTACTATCAAGCATCCGACACCCTATCGGTTGCAATGGTTGAATGATTGTGGCAATCTTAGAGTCACTAGGCAAGTGAATGTGCCACTCTCTATTGGAAAATATGAGGATGAAGTACTTTGTGATGTGGTACCTATGGAGGCAAGCCACCTACTTTTAGGACGACCATGGGGGTATGATCGAAGAGTAAAGCATGATGGATACACAAACAAGTATTCATTTGTGATGAATGGTCATAGCTATACCCTGAAACCTCTTTCACCTCCTCAAGTTCAAGAATGTAATCTGAGAATGATTCGAGAAAGAGAGAAACGAATGAAAGAGCAGAGTCCTAAAGATGAATCTACTTTGGACGTTCCAAAGAGATCTTCAAATGATCTACAAATTCGAGAGCCAGTGGGCAACAATTTCTTCGCTAGTCCCAAATCGGTGGAGAAGTGTTTTGCAAAAGGAACAAGTATGATTTTAATGCTTTTTCGTGATAATTCTGTTTTACTAACCGAAGTTCCTAGCAATTTGCCTAAGGTGTTTCAAAGGCTACTTCAAGAATACGAGGATATATTCCCTGAGGAGTTGCCTAATGAACTTCCTCCTATACGAGGAATAGAACATCAAATTGATCTAATTCTGGCGCAGTCATTCCGAATAGACCTGCATATAGAGCAAATCCTGAGGAAACAAAGGAACTACAAAAGCAAGTTGAAGAACTCCTTGCCAAAGGTCAAATTCGAGAATCTCTCAGCCCTTGTGCTGTTCCTGTTTTACTTGTGCCTAAGAAAGATGGTACGTGGCGTATGTGCATAGATTGTCGTGCTGTTAATAAGATAACTATTAAGTATAGACATCCAATCCCTAGATTAGATGATATCCTTGAAGATCTTTATGGTGCTACTGTATTTTCTAAAGTGGATTTAAAATCTGGCTACCATCAAATAAGAGTTAGACAAGGAGATGGATGGAAAACTGCTTTCAAAACAAAATTTGGTTTATATGAGTGGTTAGTGATGCCTTTTGGGTTAACTAATGCTCCTAGTACTTTCATGAGATTAATGAATCATGTTTTGAGGCATTATATTGGTAAGTTTGTTGTTGTATATTTTGATGATATCTTAGTGTATTCTAAAAATTTACAAGAACATGTTGAACATGTGAGAATTGTTTTGCAAACATTGAGAGAAGAGAAACTTTATGCTAACATGCCTAAATGTTCATTTGGGTAAATGAAGTTGTGTTTCTTGGATTCATTGTTAGTGCAAAAGGAATTCATGTTGATGAATCTAAAATACAAGCTATTAAGGATTGGCCTACACCAACTAGTGTGACACAAGTAAGATCTTTTCATGGTTTGGCTAGTTTTTATAGAAGGTTTGTTAAAGATTTTTCAACTAAAGCTGCCCCTTTAAATGAGTTGGTTAAAAAGGAAGTTAAATTTGTTTGGGGACCAGCCCAAGAGAAAGCTTTTAATGACTTAAAACGAGACCTTTCTAGTGCCCCTGTTTTAGCATTACCTGATTTTAACAAGACATTTGAGTTAGAATGTGATGCTTCTGGTATTGGTATTGGTGCTGTTTTAATGCAAGATAAACGTGCTATAGCTTTCTTTAGTGAAAAGTTAAATGGAGCTTGTCTTAATTATCCTACTTATGACAAGAAACTCTATGCTGTGGTTCGTGCATTAGAGACTTGGCAACATTATTTGTTGGCTAAGGAGTTTATAATTCATACAGATCATGAATCTCTAAAGCATCTTAAATCGCAAAACCGTCTAAGCAAACGACATGCTAATCAATCAAATGGCCAATTTAATAAAGAGGTAGATGAAAGCTTTAACTTCAAAACACAAAATCATCCGAATGCAATCACAAACTTAAACTACATAGGTTCCAGAGAATGAAATCTAATTAACTACACATACAACCTACAGAAAATACAAGAAAAGAAGGAAAGCATTGAGAAGAAGCAAATTTGGATGGCTGAGCAACAGGTCACTCGCCTGAGTTACAAAGGTCACTCAGGCGAGTAAGGACTGTTACTCTTCCTTTTCTGGTACTGGACTTCTTTTTCCTTTGGAGTTTTCTCCCCTCTCCACTCTCTTCTTCTCTCTCTGTGGTGTTTTGTGTTCTGTATGTCCACTCAGATCCCCCTTCATGCTGGGAATGCAGCTCCTTTTATAGAGTTTTGAAGCCGGTTCTTCTTCCAAGATAGCCTCCCCATGCTTGTGAATTATTTATTCCTCCCAATGCTTTGTGTCTTGAATTCGAGAATTGACTGGTCTCTTGCCCTTCTCCAGCACTGGTATCAGCTACAACATTGATCATCATGGGCGGTTGGGAGTCTAACCAAGGGGACAAGCATGCCCTTGGATGGGACACAGTCATTAAATTGTGTCTTGGAGATATCTTTGACCAGCTCAGCAAAATTTGATTTTAGCAGCCTAATTTTTGTTCCTAAAGCCCCTCTTTTCCAGCAGTTATGCACTTAGGTCCTTACCTATACAAAAACACAAAACTAGTTAAGCAAAATGAACTAATTCTAAGAAACACCCCTAATTCTCGATTAATTTCAGAGTAGATTATAATGCTTTTTGTTTAACAAATTAACCATTATCAACTCCCCCAAACTAGAAGAGTTGCTTGTCCTCAAGCAAGACAATCTAACCCTTGAGAACTACACACAAAAACAAGAAAACAAAAGCTAACCACTGACTCCCCTGAGTGAAAATATCACTCGGGCAAGTGGCACTACTGACTCCCCTGAGTGACAAAAGTCACTCAAGTAAGTGACACTGCAGCAAACACACAAGAACTTCACAGCAAAACATAACTAGTTCATATGACAATCGGATACAACATCTCAAACGCAAGAAAAACAAGTATATCTTCATCCAAATTCGAATTTC